GGAATCCGTTAACGGAATTCGTATTTCGTTTTGGTTGACCAATCAGAGGCTCTCTCTTCTGCTGCTGAGAGTTGCATTACAATACAGTCAGGAAATACGAAATTCCGTTGACGTATTTTCGTTCCGTTACGAACATTTGTTATATTGAATATTTGAAAGCAAAATATGATATATTATATTTGAAAGCAAAGTACATTTATATTGGAGTTGATGGTAGGTTTTTTTTTTATCCGAAATACAAAATTCGGATCCGGAATCCGTTAACGGAATTCGTATTTCGGATAAAAAAACAACTACCACATCGACTCCAATATTAACAAAGGTATTTTTGCTTTTTAACTTCATCATAACGAATGTTCGTACAGTTACGAAAATGTGCCGAAACTAACGAAAATTCGTATTTCGTACAAATCCGAATTGAGTTTCGGACACGAATTACGAAATACGAAATAACGGATATTCCGAAACGGAACAAAACGAAGCGGAACAAATTTTTTGATGGTGCACAAGTCTAGACAGTATCCCCTCCTTGACAGCAAATATTTATTGAAGATGAAAAAAAGTGCAAAATAACTACCGGTGCAATTATAAGTTAAACAATTATATTGGTGAAAAAAATACATTCTACATTTATTTAAAAAAAAAACTATCCTAGAAATAAATGTACATTTGTGTCCCCGTAAAATAATTTTATTAAATGAAGTGTGTTTTCTTGTTTAGATTCATGGATGGGATAAGGGGTTGCCAAAAAAAAATTTTTTCACTTCTTTACTTCTTTTTATTGAGTTAAAATATTTTTCAAGAATCAATATTATTTTAAGTTTTTGCAAGATTCCTGGTGCTCATGAAAAGAACTCAATATAAAATGTTGGCCCATAAACTAAATTCTACAGATCCTGTGGACTGCTTCTGCAGACACAAAAATATGAAGTTACGAAATTTAATCTGAAAATATTTTAAATGTCTCTGCCAAACACAACCGGCAAATGTGACCCCGACTCCACCTATGAATTTCTTTAGTCTCTGTAAAATATTTATGTATTTCCACTTTTGCAGTTTAAAAATTAAGATAAAATAAAAAAAGACCCCTTTATATATCTGTTATGTGTTCCTAGTCACACAGAATAACCCAAAATATTTAAAAAATATATTTCTTACCTTTTGGATGTTTCATTGCAACAGGCAAAATGGTTGAGTCCACGTTTTTCTAAGGCCCCGTTCACACCGAGGCGGTTGTGTGAGATCCGCCGACATGAACGATCTCATACTGTTGCTATGGGGACCGTTCATGCGACGACGCAGGTCTGCGCGGTCCGAAACACCCCCTGCCCGAACTGCTCCCTGCACTAATTTTGCAGCGCTGATCAGTGCGGTTTCCATACAGCTTTAAATGGAACCACGCTGATCAGCACGGTTTGGGGCCTTTCTAATTGCGCTTCAGCGCTGAAACGCAATTAAAAACTCCCAAAACCGACCTTTTGAAATCAACGCGGTAACAGCGCTGATCCGCAACCGCCCTGGTGTGAATGGGCTCTTAGCCCCTTACAATGATCCCTCCTTATAGAAAAACTAAAGCTGTTTATACACGGTTGTTTTTTCTTTGTCGAATGAAGATTTGCATTGTATTCTGACAGACGTCGCCAGCCGCTGTCAGAATACCCGAACTGGCAGCTAATTGGCTACAAGTGCCGGTCAGCCAAAGATTTTCCAACCTGATCCCCTTCAATCAGCTTATCGAGGGATGCCGGTTGGAAGGGTGCTGATAGCGGACACCACTGTGTGAATTTTGGCCGTTTCATAAAGACCCGGATGAAATTCGTACAGTGTACAGGCTACTTTATGACAGAAACGTGTGGATGGTGTTCCTCTCATTAACTTTATTGACATACAATGTAGAAGCCGGGACACCTTAACCCTTTGTTAGGACAGGCAGTGTTCAAATCTGCCACACAAATTATATTTAACAAACCCCTCATAACCCCTACCAGCATTACAAAGCAGACATTTGAACCCTTAAGAAGCCAAGCAAAAAAAACCTAACCCAAGTAAAAGCAATTTAAACCGCAAGAAGCATTTTTAAGCATTTATTTTAGCTTATACCATGAGAATGAGAACATGTAACATGTAATATAAAATAGGTGTTATCCCAATGTGGTTGAGAAAGTGGAAATACGTGAATTTTATTTTGTACCATAGCTTAAAGTGACACTAAACTGCGGAGGTAAATCTTAAAAATACATTCAGGTGCCTTCACTAGCTTCCAGAAGGAAGGACAGTGTCAGCACCAATTCAGAGATGATTGGAGGATCTACAGCCGTGTGATACACAAAAAAGATACATTGTTGTCGTATTTCAGGGACTTGAATGGATTTCTAAGATTTCATTACTGAGTTTAGTGTCACTTTACTGTTATGCCTTCGTGTTAGGGATGCACAGATACTTTTCGAGTACCAGTGCCGATACTTGGCATTTTCACGAGAACTCCCAGGGTTGCAGAGGTGGCAGCTGGGATCCGGCTCTGGCGCTCCACCACTGTCCTGAAATCATCAGTCTATATTGTTTTAGAAAAACTGTCACATGACAATAAACAAAAATGTATCAGTACTCGTACTTGTAAGTACTCGGCAAGTACCAGTACTCATACTCGCAAAACTGGTATCGGTGCATCCCTTTATTTATACTTATAAAAACAAAATCATACATTAGAGATGTACAAATCCCGGGAGCTCCGTGTGCTCCTTACAAATGACAGCTGCCTCCTAACTTTTTAATTTTTCTCTAGTCTGGTCTTGGAGCTCGAAAGTATCTGTACATGTACTCGTACTTGTACCGAGTACTGTACTTGGTATCTGTGCAACCCTACTTCGTGTTATCATTGAAATTTTTGGTTTTCATGGTTGGCTTTGGAAACAGACCTTCTACGGCGTATAAACAACCCTCAGCCTGCACCACATCAAACAATTTATTGAGCACGTCATACATTTAATAGAGAATTGTTAAAATCACAAATAACACGCCACTATTTGCACTTAATGAAATAGGGTTGAAAATATTACACTTATGCTAGATACAGAATAGCAGAGTCCTATTTACAAAGACAAAAGTCCATGAACCCATTGCGCTAGAAACCGCCATTCCAAAGTAATGAGGGTCAGTGCTGCAATCGTCAACGGCTGGCTACCGTGATACATAGAAAGTAGAATATATGGACACCGGAACTCCAATAGTGAATCAAATACGTCTGTTTATTGATGTATGAGCAGCATAATGTGACGTATAGAGGTCTCACAGGATCCCCTTCACTTGTTCTGCCTGATGAAGGGGATCCTGTGAGACCCCGAAATGTTGCATTGAGTGTATCACATTATGCTGTTCATACTTCAATAAACAGACGTATTTGATTCACTTTTGGAGTGCCGGTGTCCATATATTCTACTTGTTATTCACAAAGAGAGCGCATACTAAGATCTTTGTATGTGATTTCTGCCAACGCCACATTGAAAAGTGTGTATGCGAACGTCTTGCCATGGCATTCATGGAGGATTGGACAGTGACTCTGCCTACTGAAAAAAACGGTGAGCTTGTCTTTGAACATTTTAGACAGAAGTGTCCTATTTAGGGAGCTGGAAGCTGGAACACAAGGTAGAGGAAGACGCTGTATTTGGTTATGTAATTGTCTATGTAACTGTCATAGTGCATACCAATTATGAATCTCTTTTCCAAAGTTCATTTGTTCTGTTTTGTGAAGGTAAAATTAAGTAAACGAGAACAAATTCATTTGAAATATTTATTTTAAAGTGAAGAAACATCTCCGGACAATCAAGCTGACATGTATGTGTCATGGGACCCGTGTGCAGGTGTCCTCACACCGCATGCAGGTACCCCCACAGGAGGACCAAATGCGTGACCACACCATACAAGGTCAGTTGAGCTTATATACAGTTTATTTATACAGAGCAAAACATAACACAAACAACAAATAAGTAATAGTAACCAACTAAATACACACCCAAGCACATACAAAAAAGATAACATAAAGTAACCAAAACTAGGAGCAAACCGCAGAATAACCACACAGGGTATAACAGGGCAGGAAAACCTGGGGAGCAGGGCAACAGGAGTCAGGAACATAAGCAGGCAACAGGAGGCAGGAACATAAGCAGGCAACAGGAGGCAGGAACATAAGCAGGCAACAGGAGGCAGGAACATAAGCAGGCAACAGGAGGCAGGAACATAAGCAGGCAACAGGAGGCAGGAACATAAGCAGGCAACAGGAGGCAGGAACATAAGCAGGCAACAGGAGGCAGGAACATAAGCAGGCAACAGGAGGCAGGAACATAAGCAGGCAACAGGAGGCAGGAACATAAGCAGGCAACAGGAGGCAGGAACATAAGCAGGCAACAGGAGGCAGGAACATAAGCAGGCAACAGGAGGCAGGAACATAAGCAGGCAACAGGAGGCAGGAACATAAGCAGGCAACAGGAGGCAGGAACATAAGCAGGCAACAGGAGGCAGGAACATAAGCAGGCAACAGGAGTCAGGATTCGCAGGAAATGGCAACAGGATACTGAAGCAAAATCCAGAGTTCAGGGAGGGATTAAATACCCTGCCAGGTAGTGATTAACCACTGACAGCTGGGAGTGAGCCACAGGTGAGGACTGGACAAGCGGGTTCCAGCACCACCCAGTGGTGGTCTGGTATCTAACATCTCCTGGCTGCCTGAAAACACCTGCAGGTGAGCACAGGAACTGCAGGACCTGGTTCCTGTGCCCCCTGGAGGTGCTATAATCCCTAACAGTATCTAACTACACAGAGGCCTTAGTCATAGCAGCTCTGAAGGTTGTTGAACTTTTATCAATACAACCTCAGTTCATAATAATCCTCCATAAATGGAAATATAATGCTGGTGTTGTCCAGTTACATGTATTTCCTTCCAGATAGCTGAACTATATTGGGTGCTATGTCTGACTCCCACCACATCTGTCTCAAAGAAGCCACTTTTATACGTTAGAAAAGTTATAGATTTTATAAATTCTTTGCATTGCAGCTTTCAGTTCATGATTCCTCAGGGTGTATATAAGAGGATTTAGCAGAGGAGTGATTGTGGTGTAACATATTGATACCAGTCTGTCTGCTGCGTACTGATAAGTTGTGCTGGGTCTAAAGTAGTTGAAAATAAGGGTTCCATAAAAGATGAAGACCACGGCTAGGTGAGAGGAACAGGTGGAGAAAGCCTTGAACCTCTTGTCCTTCTCTTTAATCTTAAGCACCGTTGAGAATACTAAGATGTAGGGGGTGAAGGTCATCAGTAAAGAACAAAACCCAAGCAGGCCGCCAAGGAGAAAGATGGACAAGATGTTGACAGACACATCTGTGCAAGATATCTGGAAGAGCTTGGACAAGTCACAAAAGAAACTTTGGACAATATTTGAGTCACAGAAACTCAGCCTCAGGGTAATGAGTGTATGTACCAAAGAGTAAATCATTCCAAGAGTCCAGACACTAGCGGCCAACTGGGCACAAGTCTTCCAGTGCATGATCTGAATGTAGTGTAGAGGTCGACAAATGGCGATGTATCGATCGTAAGACATGACGGCCAATAAGAGGATTTCAGTGGTGGCCAGAAAGATGAAGAAAAAAACTTGGGTGAGACATGCCGGGACAGAGATTATTCGGTTATCTGTATTGAGGTCAAAGAGCATTCTGGGAGTGGTGAGAGAAGAAGAACACAAGTCTAGAAAAGCCAGATTTCCTAGAAAGAAGTACATGGCGGTGTGGAGGTGCGAGTCAATGGCAACAAGGAGCATGATGAGGAGGTTTCCCAGCAGAGTCATACAGTAAATGTGGAGAAAAAGCAGGAAGAGGGGGAGACGGAGACCGGGAAGATCCGAAATCCCAGAAAGAAATAATTCAAAGATTATGGTTTGATTTTCCATCACGGCAGCTGCAGATATCAGAGAACGGTAACAAAGGTTAACAGAAAGTTTGACTTTCAGAAATTAATTAAAGAAACATTAAATGTAGATTAAAAAAAATATAGGGGAGTTTAATAGACTTACATCTGGAGGATCCAAACGCCGCTCTCCGTGGCCGCGCACGCATGCCGCGTCGTGCCGCTCCTCCCCCCTGCACGCCAGCTGTCGGTTTAAAGCCGCGGGTTTAATGATTGTTCGGCGTCCTATTGATTGTTTGGTGAACGCTGAACAATCACCCTCTGTGGTCTGCCTGGACTTTTCTGGCTACCCCATTGAGAGGGCCTACTCAAAACGATCCCCTCGTGGGGATTTCACCTGCCTTCCGGAGCTCCGGCCTCTGTACCTCTCTAGGCTCCCTGGCAGGGGTCATGGGACCCCCGTCTCCACCGCCGCAACCCTCTGTCTCCAGAATCCTCGCTGCTGTGGTCCGTGCTTTTTTAACCGCAAGTACCTCAGAGTTCTACTCAGTGAACTATTGCCTGTTGCTATTTAAATACAGTCTTGTAAGCATTTCAATGTATCCACTTGCCTAGTGAACTACAATGCCTATGACTACCCTACCTGTAGTGGTTGTTTACTCTGCAGGGCCTAAACACTACGGAGTGCTACCATGCTGATGTGGTAACTTTGCTATCATACCCTGTACTTGCATGTATGGTGGACTACACATCCCTGCTGCCCTCTACAAACAATGCGGAGCGTCTCCTTGCTGTTGTGGTAACGTTGCTATCATATCCCGAGCTTACATGTATGGGTGACTGCAAACCCCTGGTGCCCTCTACAACCAATACTGAGTGGCCCTTGCTGTGTGATACTCTTGCTATCATATGGAACCATGTGTAATGTCGCCAGCAGTTATTTAGTCTAGAGCAGGGGTCAGCAACCTTAAACACTCAAAGAGCCATTTGGACCCATTTCCCACAGAAAAAAAAAACACAGCGAGCCAGAAAACCCTAAAATGAAGATAACACGGCATATATAGTTTTTTTAGCTTTATGCTATGCATAGCATGTACTGTATATAGGTATATGTGGGCTTCGTAACGCACTAGACTCAGGGCTTCGTAACGCACTGGACTTAGGGCTTCGTAACGCACTGGACTCAGGGCTTCGTAACGCACTGGACTCAGGGCTTACCGGAGACCCCGCAGAGCCCACCTGAGAGTGACCCTGCAGAACACAACATAGATCCTGCACTGCCGC